ACACCAGGACATGTCTCAGTCCATCACAGGGACACCAGGACATGTCTTAGTCCATCACAGGGACACCAGGACATGTCTCAGTCCACCACAGGGACACCAGGACATGTCTCAGTCCATCACAGGGACACCTGGACATGTCTCAGTCCATCACAGGGACACCTAGGGACAATTTAGTTACCAGTCAGTCTAACACGCATGTTTTTGGTATGTGGGAGAAAACTGTAGTACCTGGAGAACACGCATGCACGGAGAGAACATGCAAACTCTACCCAGAAAGGCCCCAGGCTGGGATTTGAACCGGTGACCTGCTCGCTGAGAGGCAGCAGCTCTACGAACTCTTCAGTTTTATATTTATCCAGGTAGTCTGAGTCACGAGGACTCGTTTCCAGAGACCTGTTTGGGAGCAGATGATGGTGGTTAAGAGCCTTGCTCAAGGGCCCAGAGCAGGGCAAATGAGGGTGGAGGCAGGTGTGGGTGCTTCATGTTGTTGGTCCAGGGAGTTGAACCAGCGACCTTCTGACCACAGGCCCAGCTTCTGTAGCCTCTGCTCCACGACTCGTCCACACGGAATAATCGTGCTGCAGGAACTTTTGCACCTTCTTCACTTCAGGGTGTGATGCTGAACACGAGTGGGAGACCGAGCCCAGGAAGACCACCCTGAGGTTCTCCAACTAAGTCCTGGCTGCAGGAGGCTTTGTCCCGTCAGCTCCATCATGCTCCTCAGCACGAACAACAAACTTCAGAAGCCACCATGAAGCTTCAGCTGCATGACTGCAGAGAAGTCTGAAAACAACCCGAGCAGCAGATCCGTGCGCGTTGAAGCACCTTCCTCCTCCTCCTCCTCCTCCTCCCAGGAACAGCATCTCTCCTGCTTCAAACAAGAAGGCGGACCTGCGTGGAAACATGGCGAGTCCTCGCTCAACTCGCAGCCTCGGCGTCTTACCTCCGACCCGGTACATGTTGGCGGCCATGGCGGCCGGAACCTCTCCGGTGCTGGACTGGTTCTGTTCGGGCTCGCGCTGCCGGAGCGACTGCTGGAAAATGGAGGATTGATCGATACGAAGCAGACGGAGCCTTAAAGAGACAGCACCGACTCGTGTCCACACGAACACGACCCGCACATCTTTTAACTTCGAGCTGGGACGTCTCCTTGTGTTCGCTGACACGGAACGAGCACGCGCGTGACGGTGATCCACGAACACAGACTTTAATTGAGCTGAAAGAGCAGATTATTTACAGCTCCAGCACTTCTCTCGAGATAAAAAATGAAATGGACAAAATACGTTGACTTTAAGCCGGGGTCCAGTTCTCGTCGATCAGCTGTGATCTCGCGATAGTTTGTAGTGAACTCCGTTGGTCCGAGGTACGGAAGCCCGTTAGTGCCAGTGAGAAGAAACGAAGCGTCAAATGTCTTAAATGTCTTAATTACAGATAGAAAGTTATAAATATGAGATAAAAAAGTCATAAGTATGATATTAACAGTCATAATTTCAACCTTTGAAACGATGGCTGTTTAATCTCATACTTGTGACTTTGAAAGTTGTTCTTATGACACGCCGTCTGACGTTTAATTTCTTTTCATTGGCAGAAACGTGCTTCCAACGCCCTCAGTGCACGCTTAAATAAAATTTAAAATTATCACTGAAGCTAAAAATAAATACAATGTTGGTTTAAAAACACGCGAGGCAACAAAAAAAATATAAAGGCTTTTAAACGTTTTTTTAAAGGAAAGCATATTGCCTGCTACGCCAAAGGTTTAAACTAAGATGATCTTATGTTTGTAGCACCTTTGGTCAAATTATGTGAAATATTTTTTGCCTGACATCAAACAAGTTGTCAGTAATTCATGAGATATTTTGCTAACAGGCAAACAGTGTTCACACCAACAGACAATGCCAAAGTTTTAAGCAAAGCAAAATGTGTAGTTATTAAAAAGGTGTTGCAAACATTTCAAACAGCTCCAACCGCCGCAGATCTGAGCTCAGTACCCGAGTTAAAAACGTTGAAGCAGCACATGAATCAGGAAAGCTCACGGTGAAGGAGTAAAACTGGAGACCTCCTTCACTCAGGCCCAGAAGGAGCTCAGCTGGAAGCACCTGGTGGTCAAGTCTTGGCTCCTGGGGCTCGTCTGGGCCAAGCCTGAAAGAGAGACAAGTTGGCGCCTTCGTTTGGACCCCCCACCTGACACGAGGACTGTCCAGGTCAGGTGCCAGCTGGGCAGCAGGCAAAATGGGGGTGGGGTCCCTGGTGGTGCCGATTGCTGGCAGCACAAACTAGCTCTGGAGACATGAACCAACATAAGATTTTAAATATTTAATATGACACAGTGGCTCAGTTGGTAGAGCTGTTGCTGGTTCAAATCCCGGCCAGGGGTCTTTCTGGGTGGAGTTTGCATGTTCTCTCCGTGCTGCGTGGGTTTTCTCCGGGTACTCCAGCTTCCTCCCACAGACCAAAAACATGCATGTTGGACTGACTGGTGACTCTAAATTGTCCCCAGGTGAGAGAGTGAATGGTTGTTTGTCCCTATGTGTCCCTGTGATGGACAGGAGACCTGTCCAGGTGTCCCTGTGATGGACAGGAGACCTGTCCAGGTGTCCCTGGGATGTACAGGATACCTGCCCAGGTGTCCCTGTGATGTACAGATGGATGGACACAGTAGTATCTTTTAATACACGTGTTTCTTTGAAGATGCATTTTGTCCTCCTCCTGTGAACATTTTACTTTCTTGCTTTTTATTGGTGCTATTTAGCAAAGCAACTGTTTATTTTCTACAGTATTTCTTTTTTGTTTTGTATCCTGCTAAATTAATGTTTTTCAGTATTTATGTCTTACTCTGTGTGTTTGTAGTGTTAATCTAGTTTAGTCAAGGTTTTTTAATAAAATATTAACTTATTTTTAAAGTTTATCTGATAATACATAGTAATGTAAATGATATGTCACGGCGGAGCGTGTCCGTGTCCTCCAGGGTGGTGCGGGGGGGGAGTTGGGTGACGCCCAGGGCACCAAACAGTCTAGGACCGCCCCTGTAGGCTTTTGTGTTTTTCTGTACTGGCAGCCATATTGAAATGAATTGATTCCCAAACAATCAACTGTAGATGTCAACCCAATTTTTGAAAGTTTATTTAAACTTTGTTTTGGGATTCATGAAATATTTTACTAACAGTACAAACTAACACAGACATGGGTTAAAACATTATCACTCCGTCTTTGCCTGTTGTGGCTGGCGAACGTGTCCATCTTATCATAAATAATAATTTGCCTGTAGCGATGTGTAAAAAGCACATTTTCACGGTGTGTTTAGTGGCCGTCAGTTTCCCGCAGCTCTGGTTCGACTGTGGATGCAGGCGTGGAGCCTCAGTGCTGCAGGAATGCTGTGGTTGAAGCTCCATCTGATCCATTCCATATGGAAGCTTTAATTACTGTGGCCTAACACTGGGGACCAGTCTGCAGTCACATGACCCCACCAGCCAATCACGTCCACTGCAGCGTGCTGTGTGTGCGTGTGCGTGTGTGTGTGTGTGTGTGTTGCATGAAAACGATCCCGTGTGACACCCTGGAGTTTTATTATCGAACAGGCGGTGCTTTTTTTATTGCCCACCACTAACAGCAAAGGCAGAGCACTGATGTTTTTACTCTTGTCTGTTAGCAAAATATCTGATTAACTTAGGGGGTTAATACGGTTCAAGATGTCCACCCACAGCTCAGCTATGGATACGAGTCAGTTTTCAGATCTTCAGCTCAGAATGAGCAGCTTCGGTTTGTCCGTTACATTAAAATTTTAAAGTCAATAACTTTGTCAGTTTTACAGGGAATTGTGATATTAGCAGGAAGTTACTTTTTTAAACTTTAACTTTCAAAATCAGAGTCAAATGTTCGTTACATTGTTGTTGTTTTTAAATTCTGGACAGATTAGAGGGAAATGCTCATAAATGAATAATTCCTGAACGTCCAACCATTTTTATTTAGAGTCAACTCATCGTTAGCAAACATGGATTTAACGCACGAGATCATTCAAAGTTCATGTAGGAGACACGAATGAACCAGTTGTTATAATATTTTAATCAACATTCCAGCATATGTTCCCAGCGTGTTTTTAGTTGTTGACCCCCAGACAGAAGACTGAGAAGGAGCCAGCGTTCAAAAGACAAGTGTCTGATTGACAGCTGGAGACCTTTACTGGAAGGGAGGAGACAAGGTGAGGATTTTGTAAATCTGCAGGTTGCTTGAATACCGATTCATTTGAAGAGGATCTCCTCGGACAAATGTTTGTGTTGCAGAAGGAGCTGGAGAGAACAAGCTCCTGGGTTTCCACGGAGGTGAAGGGGGTCCAGAAGGTGAGTGGTGTTGGAGGTGCTCGGTGGTGTTCTGATCCAGGAACAAGATGATGCCAGGGCGAGGACACAGAGGACAAGGAGGTCTTGGAGGACTCAAGGAAGCAGGACATGGAAGACACTGGAGAAAAGAACAAAGGTGAGTCAAACTGTTTGGAAACAAGTTCATGGCTGTCCATTACAAGGTGTCAGTGTTCCAGCGTCTGAAGAACGTCTGGCAGGAGCTTCAAGAGTCTGCGGAGAGGTCTTCCAGACCAGGTGCAGCTGTGGAGAAAGTGATTGTGGCTGGAAACCTAAGAGTGCCACAGACCTGCTGCACAAACGGTCAGACATGTTCAGGCTGCTACAAAAACACGCTTGAGCTTAGTCAGAGGAGATGAACTGTTCACTGCTCTGCAGATGTTCTTGTTGAATCCACTCCTCTGCCAGATGTTAGGACGACAGGCCGATGAGCAAGGCTGCAGAGCTCGGTTCAGAGCAGTGGGTGCAGATGTTGTCCCAGATGTTCCGAATCTAGACAGAAAGTTTATTTTGATTTCTAAAGTTTATTTTAAATAAAGTTTTTTTTAATTTCATTATTGTTTTCCTGTTCCTCAAAATATTTTATTTGTTTGTTTGTTTACAGTCAAACAACTTCTTTATATTCAAAGTGTTTTGACCCTTCATAAAGAACACCGAACCTTTACACTGACTGGCGTTCTTTATGGTTCTCGTCATTTCTACACATTTTTTAAATGTAAACATTTAAAACAGAATTCATCGCAACATTTCAGTTCCTCTTCTCTTTGAAATATGAATCAGTGTTTGTGAAAAACAGCAACATTCTGGCATGTTTTAGTAATTTTAACAGTTTAGTCAATATTAACTTTAACAATTGGAAATTTTAGCTATATTTTAGATCATTTAGCGTCTGATTTGTTAACTTAAATTGTTTTTTTAAAGCTGACATATGTTTCATTAATTTAATTCAGTTCAATTCAATTCAGTTTATTTATAAAGTGCCAAATCACAACAAAGTTGTCTCAGGGCACTTTACAGGAACAATCACATAAAAAGCCAATTAGTAAAGTTCTCTATCTAAGGAATCCAGCAGACAAGTTGAATCTAGGCTTCGTCTCAGTCTCCCATCCTGAGCAAGCACAGTGGAGACAGTGGAAAGAAAAACTCCCTTTAACAGGAAGAAACCTCCAGCAGAACCAGCTCAGGACAAGAGACCATCTGCTCTGACCGGCTGGTTGAGAGGACAGGAAGGAGAGACAGACGAACACAGAATGGTAGGTCCAGGTATAGGTCCAGGTCCAGGTATAGGTCCAGGTTCAGGTGTACCTGAAAGACAAAAAAAACACATGTTAATGATAGAAAAATAATTACAAATACAAAACAGGTTGAGCAGAGTAAGTAAAGACAGCAGCAGAGTGAAAAGTGTGGTCAGTTTGTCCTCCAGCAGTCTAAGCCTATAGCAGCAGAACTAAGGGACAGCTCAGGAAACCCAAGCAGACCCTAACTATAGGATTTAGCAAAAAGGAAAGTCTTAATCCCAGTTTTAAAACTGGATAATGTGTCAGCCTCACGGACAGAGATTGGAAGTTGGTTCCACAAGAGAGGAGCAAAGACCTTCCTCCCATTCTGCTGCTGGAAACTCTAGGAACCACAAGTAAACCTGCAGCCTGAGAGAGAAGTGCTCTGTTAGGAAAATATGGAACAATAAGATCTGTAATATAAGATGGAGCTAGGTTGTTGAGAGCTTTGTAGGTTAGAAGTAAGATTTTGAACTCTATTC